AAGATCCCTTGGTGGTCTAAAATCGATAAGAGTAGGCTTCGGCCGCCACCCGGGCAAAATTCAAAATTTCCTACCAACTGAAAATATTAGGTGTGTTCCGTGCGCTCATATGACCTTATGCAGTTGCGAGTGCCGTAAAACACTTTACAAAAACAAAACAAATATATCTCAGCTACCAGAAAAGATAGTTGAACAATTTAACCCTATCCGCACGTCGTGTTTTACTATCATATCCATACGATGTGGGGAACTCTTGCCACTACTTTCCAAAGAGGAAATTTACTCGTTAATCCGATCCGTACGCTTTCCATAGCAGTCTGTCAAAATGATTTTTTGAGAAATACTGAAAATTTCAAAGAGATCTTCACACTACAAGTATTCTAAAATGGGAAGAATACAACCCCTGGAGTACAAAATGACCCCAGGCGTACGGATAGAGTGAAAGCACACACTAATCAGGAAGATTCCAGCATTCAGAAAAGCGCAGAAACCCAAAATGTCCCGGCGTCGACAAGTTTCTAATTTCCTCAGACTCAGACCCGCCCATGACCTTACCAGCGTTTGTGGTGTCACAGTCAGCCACTTCGCTGTCGACGCGCCACACGCAGACCAACCTTGGCAACGGCAATACAAACCAAAAGAGTAGATCTATTTCTATGTTTGTTTTAATAGAGGCTTTGTTTATTTCAGTAGAGGTTTTACGGAGCTCGCAACTGCATAAGGTCATATGAGCGCCAGAAGATTAGAGGTGTTACAAGAGAGTAACAAACATAAAAAAGAAGGAGGGGAGATGAGGACGATAGATGTTCGACAGGAAAGAAGAAGCAAACCACACCAGAGCACCCGCCAACCACCCACAGTAAGGTTTTACTGCGTTCGCAACTTCGTAAGGTCATATGAGCGCCAAGGGGAGGATATCAACAAAGAATTCTTTACAGGGAATCAGCCTCACTCTGCTCACCTCTCTAGCTTCATCGGCACAAAGTCTGCTTCGATTATCAAGGTATCCCGGAAATAGCAGTTCACAAGAGAGAGACAAACATACAAAAGAAGTAAAGGAAAAATGACGATAGTAAGGATGAGGAAAGAAAAAGCAGCAGTTTCCCCTTTGTTGTTCCGGCACAGTATGAGCATGACATTGATAAATCAGCCCATTTACAATTCTACTGTGGAGAAGAACATGTTAATATGTTCAATCCCCCCCCTTTGGAAATGGCCTAAAGACAACTTCAGTCCGTAGGACTGCCCTGGGG